TTGCACTCTACTAAAAACACCATTCCTGGTAGAGTGCCAGGTGTGCGTTTTCGTTTCTGGTACATCATTGTGTTGGTAAGAAATTTAGTCACCCAGCTTTCTATATTCAGTTTCCATACATCTCACAGATGCAGTCCCAGCTCTAAGACTCCTCGAAACTTTGCTTTTTGTCTATGACATTATCGTATGAAATCTATTTAGGCAACAATTAGCGCATCAAACATCACTGTAGTACACGTGAAGGTTTGACTTTAGGAGACGAAATCGCCCATATGACATTAAATCAGTGAGATAAACTTTTATTACACGAGAATTTAAACTTGAATGACATGTCTCTTCGCAATGATGGAAATGTTCTTCTCTTTGATCACCGCCGCCTATGATTTACGTTTTTCACTTTTGTGAAGCTCTCTTGATGAACTTTTGCGTGAGGGCACAAATTTCAAGAAACTTCATTCTAATCAGCATGTTCGTCAAAAATAAATTAATGGCGAAATAGTTTATAAAGGCAAGTAAAGAAGAATACATCCTCTGTAATAGTTTTCTAATTTTACTTTGCACTCGAATTCATTCCTTTTTTTATTCGTGAAAAACATAGAAGTAAATCTTGCAGCAAATACCAAAACCAAATCTTTACATAGCAGGCGTAAGAATAATAGAACACCTTTTTAGAGGAAATCTAAGACACCAACTTGGCTACTTCTCAGCAACCGATCCTATGATTGTCGATCGAAAGTTTTACGCACAATAGCTCATTAACAACATTTGTCATCTTCACGAGTTCTCCGCGGGCGTTTCGCAACTCAGGGCTTCAAACGTCTCACCACACTGATTTTCTTTAAGTGTCAAACCACTCTAGGGAATGTGAGGTAGTTGAAAAGTGGACGTTGGAATGCTCGTTTAGCTACGCTCTCAATAGCATAATAACTCAATTGGCAAAAAAGAGGTAAGAATTTCTGGGTAGATCGTTTGGTTTGTAACACTTACCTAGATTTGGTCGAAAGTTAACTGAAGAAACATGTGTGATAATTCTTGTGATGGCAAAATCTCGTTTTTCGCGTTGTTTAAGGGCAATAGTCCATTTCAAGTTCTTGTAGCCGTAAATACAAATGGGATTGGTTTTCTATTTCGCAGTCTTTTTTTCTGCAAGTTTTGTCTGGAAGGTCGAGAAAAAGTGTCACCTTTTTCTGATTTTACCATAAAATAGCTTGAAGCTTCCTGAGTAATGATGTTTATTGCCAAATGTAGCAGTGGAAGACTTTGAGGTACATGACCCTCCAGGTCTAAAATACACCGATGCCGGACTGCAAATCTCTTTCAGGACTACTCTTACTAAGAAGATCAGAGCGCAGAATCGTCTGTGATAAGTTGTAAGGAGAAAAGTATTCATTGCTATCTGAAATGCTTTTTCCTCCCTTTAAAATTTCCACTTTTGCGAAAATAAAGGCAAAGAATCGAATAGCGCATAGTAAATAATTTCATAATGCTACCACCTTTTTTTAAGGTAAGAGTGTATTATTCAACGGAATCAAAAACTACTAATGGGTAGTTTTTGCTTATTCATTAATTTTGTCGAAAATTGTTTGCATTAAAGATTTTGGTATTGTGAGAATTTAACGAAAAACAGAGCAGTTAGTAGTCCTTAACGATGGTAATGTTCGTCATTCAGAGACCACTTGTTATATTGTTTTGCCTCTACGCCAAAATCACAAGGGTTCCTTAATGACTGATCATTCAAGCTTCCCTTTTCTGCACGAATACAAACTTCGCAATGTTAATCTCACCTCTCTAGCTGATTGTCAGCTTTTAAACCTAAATATCTAGAACAAGTCAGGATGAGTTGAAGTTTTACATCGCCTGGGCTGGAAATGGAAACGCCACAAAGGGGTTATTAGATTGGCGTTTTTATGGTAACAGAAATTGGTTTTAATATGTCTCCCACAGTCCGTAAATTAAGCACCAAATGCATCTTTAGCAAAAAACAATGCATTCGATTTGAGTGAAAACCACGCTAACAGTGTAGATGTTTTCGAAATATCCCGACTCTTCGTCGGCGAGCGCTTAGATACTGAAACCGCTCCCTATCATGAGTGTCTAACAGTGTACGAGTCTTCAAAATATCCTGACTCTGCGTCAGAAAAGCGCTTAGATATTGAAACCGCTCCCTTTGATGAGTCCTTTGATGAGCGCTCGCTTTGATGATGTCTCAAAGGGAGCCCACTGAGCTGAAACAAGAGTAACTCATCACCACAGTATTAGCGGCACTTTCCGCTCTGCTCATTAAAATTAATATATTGCGACAGTTTTGCATCCATGAATTATGAATGTAAGGCCTAATTTTTTGCCTTTGTGCGTTAGGACCATTTTGAAGAAAACACATTTGCTTAAATAATTCAAAGTGGCTACAGAACCCGGTCAGTCTGACGGTCACTTGGCAATTTTTTTCCCTTCAAATCTGCGGAGACACAGGCACATACAAGATGTGTGGCAAAAGTCCTTTTAATTTCTTTTATTGAGTAATCTGCGGCAAGTCTATTGACTATGATCTGTTCATGTTTATCTCCGGCGCCGAAAAAAAAATGGAAGCTATCCATAGGAACATTTTAACCCCGTAGCATTCCTGCTGTTTCTGTCTCAAACAAGCTTCTCGTAGAAAATTCTTGAAATCTGCATCAGAACACCTGTCTGTGACGAGAAGATAATACTGTCTTCGTCGCTGAATTTATGGTACGTTCACATTCTTTTCCTACATCTTATGTTGGATTGCACGCGATTTTAAAATTATCTTAAGGGTTATACAATTCATTCAGGAAATTTCTCTCTTGGAGGGTCACTACTCTTTAGACAATTCCGATGAGTCACTTCATTCTAACATTTTACATTATGAACGGAAAGCGAACTTGTCCTATAAACCTCACTGAATTAATTATCACTTCACAGAAATGCTACGACTAGCCAACATTGAAAGTAAAACATTTCGATAATAGAATCACCATTATCACGTTCTATACAACATTTCTCACTATTGTATCCTTCAGTTTCTTTTACATACTCTTACGCCAAGAAATTGCGCAAAACTAATTTCACTGCTATCTCTGATTGTTTACCTTCTGAAAACCAAGTATCCTGTTTCTTTTTATCTTATGTAAATGATCGTCTGTTTACTGTAAAATGATTACTAGGACGATGTTTTCCTCACTCTCACGGATACCGGAGGTTGATAAAAATAACACCATGCACTTTGAATGGTTAATTTCAGAAAAACAGGAAACAAAAAAATAAACGAATTTCTTATTCAGCACTAAGACCTTTCGTCATAGAAATTTTCCCCTTGATTGTTTATTTCATTTTTTAGTCATGAACTGACCAATAATGTGATTAGTTATGAACATGTGAATAGAAACAAGGTCATACCCGAACTGATCAAGATGTGCTTGCAGAGACCAATCTATTCATTTGGTAAAAGTTAGTTCCTGAAATTGGGCTGAACGTTAATACGTAAAGAGCTTGCTTCTAAAGAGTGCAAAAACCTGTTTTCTATGCATTATTGGTGTATTTTTTCCACCGTAAATCGTAAACCCTACAACCGAAGGTTTTGCGTAGAGAATTAGTGGTAGCCATGGGTCGGGAGGAATCTAGTTTCCTCAAGGCATTTTTGTACATGAAGAGACGGCATTTCTCTTCATTTCTCCAAGTGCACGTATTCTTCTACAACGACTACTTGAACGTAATTCATTCGGATTGGCTCGAATAAAGTTATGTGACGTCATGACACCTGAGTGGACAAATCTTTATACGTTAATTTATCGTACGTTTACATAAAGTAATTATACTGTTACACGAAGCAATCAGAATAGATCAGTAAAAGTGCTAATAAACATCATAGAACGCCGAAGTTTATATTGTAGATTTATGATCTGAGAGCTTGTTCGTAATGACTGCCATTCTAAAGATTTTGGGGGTTTTCTTACTTACGCTGCGCTGTTACACTGATCCTAAACAAAAATTTTCAACCTTCCGAGAATAGAACGAAATACTTCATTGTTATTTGCTGTGATCTACGACAGGGCTCGTGGCAGCAGACATGCAGCCTCACCCTGATGTCTCAGTGAGATTCGGTTGATTGAGGCTTGGCAAAAAAACGAGAACTATTCAGTTGTGGGTATCTTACCGCTGAGAGAGAAGCAACTGCAGAGAAGAAGCCTGAAAAAACATTCAGTCTTCACCTGTGAGGATTAATGCTTCATCTTATCAGGAGGGATCGATATTCAAGAAAATGTACCTTAAGACTTCTTTTTTCGCTCGTCGAAGCGAGTAAAAATTGCCTCGAGGAATAAAGAGACTAACTTTCTTTTTATTGTTCAAACACAGCACTTTTGAGTTTTCTCAGCTTTCGCTGTCATCCAACGACGAATGGCAGCGACGCAACCTTTTTTCCCCTGTTCATTACTGTGTTTGTTAAAAGTGTATATTATTTGCTCATTGTGTATATTACTATGTATATACAAATGTATATTATTGGCTCATTGGCCGACTGTTTTCTCAGTTTTTCTTTATTTCTATCTTTTTGGAGTAAAAATTACTCGATATCAATCTGCAGCTGATCAGTGTGGTGTGTGAAAATTTCTGCGCAACACTAAGGGTTTTACTAATCCATCACTTTTGAGAGGTCAGTTATGAAGAAATCCGTTTTCGCATGTGTAGCTCTGTTCTGCTGGACTGTGGCAGCTGGTAAGATTTTGTCGTTCTTGACTTTCTCTAGCTCAAAGAGCTGAAAACTATGTAGAAACATTGATGTCACCCAATTGCCGTTATAAGAAACCGTTTCTGCGGAGAGATAATTTTAAAACAACAACAACAACAAAAGAAAAAAACCGTCGACGAAATAACTAAGTATAACGATTTTTTCATTAGCAAAGGAGACCATACCCATGCAAACTGATTTTTTTCGTGGTGTTTGGAGGAGCTTTAGACGTCAATTCTTTGCCCGTTTTTAACAGTTGATGACTTAGTGACTGAAGCACCTCCAGCTCACGCAAAGCTGCACTGTATACGTTTTGGGTCTGACGTTCTTTGTCAAGTGAAATGTAATAAAGGGTACGTTCCTGATCCTGAAAGGCCCCATGCCAGCTCTTATATGAGGCGCGAGGGCAAGTGGACAACCTATCCCCAAAGAATGCAGTTTCCTTGGGCTGACTGTGTGTTGGGTAAGTAGAAATTTACACAAATATTTCAATCGTAGTTTTGAATCGTTGATTTACCAAATGGATGGTGCTAGGGGTCAAAACAAAAAATGTAGGGATATGGACAGTTTACAAATATCCACGGAATGAATGCTTGATGCTAACTAGTTTGTTTCCTTATGGTTTCATCAGCGTGATCATATTAGATGGTCATAAATTATGTTTGTTTTGTGCGAAACTATCGTGAATTTCAATCAACGTTACTGAAGTAACACATTGCCACGAAGTCTCCTAGAGCTTAGTCGTAGAGCCGCGTCTAAAGTGCTGATGGGTAGGTTTAACTACTCCTGTTGGGAGCACTCGAGCTATGTTATCCAAGTATGAGTGTGTCATCCACTAAAAAACACCATCTTTAACTTTTAAAAATAGCGTATTTTTCTATCGCTAAGCATTATTCCAGGACTCTCTTTACACTAGACTGAAAATTGAAAACTAGTGTAAGACACTTAGGCTAAAACTTTTAATAATTGAAGACAATCTTTTTCCTTGGTAGAAATTAACTGTCGATTGTTGCTTTTTTTTTTCCTCTGTAGCATCTCAATAGAAATCGACCAGCAATGGCTTTCCTGCAGAGGATTTCTCATTTCCTTTCTCTGAGTTGTTTGGAGCAATAGGATACCAAAGATAATCAATAAAACCAGAGCACTGGGAAACACGGAATAACCTGTGTAGCTTCATTTATAGATGATAGTATTAGAGTTTGAAAAAGAAAAGAAACCCGAGCAAAAAAGATCAAAAGAAAGAACGCCAGAAAATTGCTAATTTGCTCATTCTCTCTTTGTTTCCTTATCTATTCTAATATTCGCACACACATTAATTTGTGCTTGAGGCTAAGCCACAAGACAAAATTATCGATTACATTTTATGGCATTTACACTCCCTGGAAACCTGTCAGTAAACCGTACAATATTTTCATGTAATAGCGAGTAACATCTATCGCCATTACTCCTGATTGAGCTATTTTTAAAACAAAGGTTTTTAAGGGAACCTAATTGGAAATGCCTTTTGAAGATGAAACAATAAGATTGATAAAATATAAAAACCAGCAGCAACGAAAACTTAAAAAAAATTATATTATCTTTAAAACTTGGGATATGCACCAGACAGATGGAAGTTGTAAAGATTATAACTATCTAAGCTGTTAGGTCCAGTCCAGCGTATCCCTACAATGAGGTTCATGAGTCGCGTCTTTAATTCGTAAATTTAAAAGTTTGCCAATGCTTCAAGCAATTTATATGCTTAAACCGCTGAGAAAAAACAAAGTCAGTCTTAAGTCGATAAAAAGAAAGGTTCTCTCTTATTCCTAATGTTCTCGCAACGGTCAGGAATTGCACAAAAGCTTCTTTTTGAATATGTTCAATTCCATGATCTGAAAGTTAATTCTCCCAACTAATACCATTCATTCTGTGTTGGTCAGTGTCACGACTTTGCTGATATATCAAGCCACTTTCTAATCAGTGGATGAGAATAGTTTTTCTCTCTTACTCCTGATGGCAAGTAGAACGTGTTTACCTATGTACGTAACTACGAGAGTTAAAGAGTTCTCTGTCACGAAAAAACATTTTTCTACCGCTTTGTCAAGTAACACTAAGGCAAGCTTTCCTCTCTTACTTGATAAGGATCCTTCAATATGTTAGTCACCGAATGACGCAGATAAAAGCTCACAGGAAAAACCTGATACAAAGCTTTGCTAAGACTGCTTTTGATTGATGACATTTTTCCTGAATATGACGAAAGTTGTTTTTGATTCGTTGGTTTCAAAAGCCCAAAAGCTCCAAGCACAGGAAACGCATGCTGCCATTGTAGGTTTATCCTTTTATCGTCGAACAGTTGGATAGTTGTTGATCACTACTTTCTAAAGAGAAACTGACAACTTAATTTTCCAGTACAAAATATTTTAACATTTTAAACTGATAACTGGACTGACAACACGTCCATTAACATTTTTAAAGCTGCTTGATCACAAAAGAGTCTCACAACTAAAAGAAAAAAAGCAAATTGTTTTAGTGAGAAAATACCCCATCTGACACGGCCATCACGTTTATAATCGCAGGTATTGTGTGGAAACAAATTGGCACAGACCTATATTTAAATATCAATTTCCTTGAACTCATTTGCCTTTCGCTTCGAACACCTGTCCGAAATTCCAGTTTAAGCGACTAAGCTGTGGAAATTTTTATTATGAAAGATGTGAAAACGTGGTACACGAGATCAAATCCTACCAAAGAAATTCTTCAGAGATTTCAAAACGTTTGAAGATAAATTGAGGGAAGGGTTTAAAATGGTAAGTTTGGAGTTGCTATAGCAGTGTTTAGCGGCTTTTTTGTGCACAGGAGGTAAGCAGCACCAAACACGCACAACGCATATTGCATGGATGTGTTTATTGGCGAAAATTGCCTGTTTTAGCAAAGACATCGATCCTTATAACTAAATTTGTGATTTCTTACATAATTCTTAGAGATGAAAATGTTCGACCTCAGCCACCTTTGCATTTTTTCAAAGTAGACTGTCTAAAAACAATGTAAAATACAGTTTATTGAAGGCTGAGCCTCCTGCTGAATTTCAGCAAAAATTTCGGTTGATCTCTATTTCAGTTTTTGTCTCTTAATGCTGAAGGCGTTAAGAAAATCACTAAGCCGTGTCTTTGCACGAAAGTGTCTCAGCGAAATTTTCAATTGTTAACAGTTTTGAGCAATTAAACGTGTGAGTGAGTAATCTGTGAAGTTTCGTATAAACAGCCTGGAAATTCAAACTGTGCGTTGCTGTCGGAGTGTGTAATTTTGTGAAATTAGGATGGCGGTTGGGAAGCTTCGCAGCTTTCTCTTTGTAAAATTCAGACTAATATGAAGGCACTTTGCTTTTTATTCCATATTTCGTAAATGTAAACTTAAATGGATACCCTGACAAAAAAATTTTGACGAAATTTGGATTTTTAGTATGAACTTAGTATGAACTTAGTCATTAGTATGAACTTTCAGTCGCATTTCTTAATCGGCGAGAGAAAATTTCCCGCAGTCAAAAAATCCTCCGGAGGTTTGTTTACAAAGCGAAGGTTATTCTTTGCGTTTGTTTCTTGAAAATAAATTTCACTTGGATGAATTTTTAATTTTTGAGACCTTGAACGCAAGAAACATTGTTCCCAGTAGATAGTTTTACGAGTGAGCGTAAGAAAAAAATCGAATTTACTTATTATCGATTGTAGTCTCACACACTTGACTGACTTTGTAGTGAACAATCTTCAGTTTTTTATACTAAAAAGACACGCGTTAAACTTTAGAAGTAGGCATTCCTGACAGTTAATTGAGAAGACCAGAAGCTAACAAGTGTGCTGTTTTCTTTCTATTTTTTATTTTTTTCATTGCAATTTGAAAAATGGGGCGTTGAGCTTCAAAGACTTATGCTCATGCTCCTTTAATCTGTCGCTGTCGCGACATACTGATTCATACTGATTCTAGATTTGACGTCTTCTGTCACGGTATATGATTTCATTAAAAATTGTTTTCCTTCGAGTGAATGAAACACTAATTTAACGATCCAATTCTGTTTAGTGTTCTTTTCGCTCAAAAGCTGTACATCTTAATTTTTGTCGGAACAACTCCATGTATGCATTGTTAGTTACTAAATACTCCATCTTTTTAACGAATATCAATCAATGGGTTGATCACACTGACGCATACTCATTCAATCGATTGTAGGTGGAGGGAGATTAACAGTAGCTAAACTTCTCAATTTCCTCTCTTTCATATTTCAGTTTAACTAATCACACAAATGGCAATCAATAAAGCGGCTGGCTTTTTTCGTTCATGCTGGCGATATGACGTCACTACATCGGCTGGCCGTCGCATACAGTCGCTGAAGATCATCGGTGTTGCAATGATAGCGGTACTTGGCCTTCTTATCTTCGTTGTTGAGGATGTCCGCCAGGCGCATAAAAGTATTGATTTAGCAAACGACATGGAAGATAAGTTGCAATCAAGTCTTCAGGTGGCATTTCTTATTCATCGTTTGCAAATAGAGCGTGGCCTTACGGTATTGTGCCTTAGTTCCCAGAGTTCAGGAACAATAACGCAAAGTGTTTACGACAAGATGAACGGTGCCCGGGACGAAACGGACAAGGTTCTGGCAGCAACAGAGTGGCCTTTCTCCATTAAACCTATCCTTATCAACGCCAACCATTTTCAAGAATATTTGAAGAATCACAGGGACGCTGTTGGGAAGAACTGTACGCACGGCGAGCCGGACGGTCAAATTGAGTTTTATACCCATCCAATAAATTTGATGCTTGATTGGTTCTTTGACACGATTAAGAATACCTCCAAAGAAATCAACGTGGATATGATTGGCTACTACATGTTCCTTGCCGGTAAGGATAAAATCGGCATAGAACGAGCGCTTGGTGGATCGTTTTTCGCCAAGGGACAATTTAATAACAGCAACCTGGTGTATTATGCAAACCACAGTATACTCGGAGGAGATTACTTGAGGTCGAGTGGCATGCTAATGCCCGAAATTAGTGAGGAGTTAAATCAAAATTTAAACGACGCCCTACTTGCTTCGATTGAAAAAAACCGAAGCGTGATTTACGCAAATAAAGCCAGCAATGGGTCAGCACACAAAGGCGAAGAATGGTTCGATCTCATGACGGTCTACCTTAACAAGTTGTTCCAGGTACAAAGGAATGCAGGAGACATCCTTAAAAATCGCTTGGAAGACGCAAAGAAAACTAAAAAGTCAGACTTAGCCTTGCGATTGTCATTTCTCACTTTTACATTCCTTCTGATTCCCTTCCTTGTATTTTCTGTTCACCGAATGACTGGAACGATTCAAAACTACACATTTAAGCTGGCACAAAAGACCTTGGAACTACAAGAAGAGAAGAGACGAGCAGATACACTCCTTTACCAGATGTTTCCTCATTCCGTCGCCGAGATGCTTAAGAAAAAGCAGCAGATTCCGGCAGAATACTTTAAAAGTGTGACAATATTCTTTAGTGACATCGTCGGCTTTACCGAGATGTGTTCTGTCATGACTCCATTGCAGGTACGATTTTAAATAATCATCGTAACGCTTAATATAGGTTGGAAGAATTTTTCTCCATCTGAGGAAGAGTTCTTCCATCACTGAACAGGCAGAACAGAATTTGAGGGAAGCTACTTCTGTGCGGCTACAGTTCCCTTAGTGACAGCGCGATAAAAAGGTAAGACAAATTTAAATATATTGCTTTGATTCGTAGGTAACAGGGATGCTAGACGCGGTGTATGGTGTGTTTGACGAGCGCATCAATACATATGACGTGTATAAAGTGGAGACAATTGGTGATGCATACATGGTTGCATCTGGGCTTCCCGAACGGAATGGAATTCGACACGCTGACCAAATAGCTCGCATGGCGCTTGATTTGCTGACCGCAGTTGATGAAATGGAGCTGCCTCAGTTCTTTACAGGAAAACTCACAGTGCGTATTGGAATAAATACTGGTAAGCATTGCTTAAAATATTGCTTGGGCAAAAATTACTTGGGCAAAAATAAAAAACACTCATTAAATGACCGTGTCAGGTTAAATTGTTTATATGATTAGGATCGACAGCTACTAACCCTATACAGAAATGGAGAAAAAAAGTATAACTTTTTCAGTTTGACGACACTGCGATGCGAAATTGTTTAAGTATATACCACTAACTACAAACAACCACTGTACCAAAATGAATAAAGGCTGCGGATAGTTTCCAAAGAAACTGTTTGGGGCTGCGTCGGTGGGGGTAACGAAATAATTTGGATATATCAACAAAGTTGAAATGGTAAATTGGCCACCGTAACGATTACAATAGCTGACGTTTCGAGCGTTAGCCCTTCGTGATTCGCTCTGACGAAGGGCTAACGCNCTCATATACCATAATGGCTAAGCCAATGAAAAGTCTTAAATTGCATTATCCAATGATCCAGTTTTTAATAATTCGTGTTATAAAATAGCACGCGCATAAGTCCTACTTAATCCCTTAAGAGCTACCATGGAAAAAATCCTCATGAACCGCACGGCCGGGCCTCCATACCATGATGTGTACGGTTTCAATTCGGCTTAAAGTTCCCATCGAGTTGAGTCGCGAGGTTTCAAAACTTTCAAGATTGTTTTTCCGGTCATCTGGCTTGAGATAGACCTTTTGGAGCTCAAAATGAAAATAAAGTATGCTAGATAATACTCGTTTCGAAACACAATGAGCATATAGTTCTTTCAAGCGACGAAACTAGTTTTTGGGGTTGACGATACTTCATTCCTAAACGCTATGCGAATTATGGCTGAAAACAAAACTGAGTTTTCTGACTTCAATCGAGGCTTTGCGATGTTGGAAACTCTTCATTAATTTGAAGTGTTGATATTTCCCAAAAGTGTTGTTCAAAAAAAGATTGTGTTTCAGCTGAAATCGTACAATTTTGAGAATTTGCGACACAAAGTTACGCAATTCAGTTTCCGGTCGTAAATTCTAGTAAAAAACAATTCAATTAGGGTAAATCTACCACACGGGTTTCGTAAAGGCAAGAGATTTATAAGTTTTTTATTTCCTTTTTTGAACGGCTGATATAATTTTTAAATACTAATATTTCCTAAAAGTATTGTTCAATAGATAGTTTTCAATTTAAAAGTGTAAAATCTCAGAATCTTTCAAGATTTTCGCTGCAAACCTATGCAATTTCCTGGCCGTGAATTCTAGTAAACAACAATTCAATACTACTAATATATCTTGGTCGTTTTTGCCTTCTCCGGGTAGAACACGATTACTGGGTAAACCCAACACAGTTTTAATTTACTCATTTTGCTTCGTGTACAACTTGTGTTTGCATGCTGTTATAAAAGAATTGGTTCATGCTTGAACTGGCGTATATCGAGTGTGCACTTGGGAAGTTTGGAGAGCACTCAAGAATCTAGAGTTTCTCTCTTTCCCTCCAAACTTCCCACGTGCATCCATAATTCGATGTATGCACGTTAAGCATGGACCGATTCTTTAATAGCTGGAAGCAAGGGTTGTTAAAAAAAACTTGAAAAAAAAAAATACTTGATAGGTAGGAAATCTCGAACACTTGGAACTGTGTAACACATGTGTGAAAAAAAATCAAGCAAGTTTGAACGACACTCACTAAAAACGGCCTGCGAATCGTTGCTTTCAAGGTCTCTATTTGCATCCCCGCGCAACGGGCTTCGTGTACGCTTTTCGCTAGGCCCTTTTCCCAATGATAATTTTTTCTTTAATTTCTCCAATTTAAAGGGGATAATTTGTACATCAAATTCTTGCAATAAAAAATAAAGGTCACCGTGCTCGTTCAAAGGAAAAGACCATCGTACCTGTTTACCTCATCCGTTGAATTTAAAACAATACCACTGATGTTCTCGACATGCGTGCGTGCTTATTCGCCTGACGCCGTGATTTTTATGCGTAGTACAGGATGTGCAGTGCCATACCAAGGAAGCCCTTTTCGTTTCTCATTGGCTGTTCGGAGGTGATTAATAGCACTATTTACATGTGTGGTACATACCAGTGGATAACATTGTGCTGTGATAATGTAAAAAAAACCCTTCGTTAGTTCTTTAACATTTAAGCAAATAAGTTTTAAACCTCTCTTCCTGAAGTGTATTGAATCCTTCCCTTCTAGGACCATGCGTGGCTGGTGTTGTTGGCACCAAAATGCCTCGATACTGTTTGTTTGGCGACACAGTGAATACTGCTTCAAGAATGCAAACAACAGGAGAACGTAAGTAACTCGAATCAATGGTAGAATAAAGTAAGGAGTGGCGCCTTTATTAACATACTCGTTTAACAAACTGTGATGCTGAGTGCCCATCATTCATCTATTTCTGATGAACGAGTAGCATTAAACCTTCAACTCCCATGTTCTAAAGCTAATTCTTGCGAGAGATGATATTCTATCAATTTGGGACAAGAAAGATGACTAGTTAAACATAAGATGCACTTTTCTCTCTTTAGGCTAAAGAGTAAGTTACCTCTTGTGTTGTTTATTTTCTTTTCTTAGCTCAAAAAATACACATAACAGAAGATACCAAAGTCATTTTGGACCAGCTTGGATGCTACGAAGCCGAATTCAGGACCTACTTAGAGGTTAAGGTACATGTAGCTTTGTTGATCTTCTAGAGGTAGCCACTTAAAAATGGTTATTCATAAGACACGTTTTATATTTCCTGTATAGACTATTTTCATTAGTTCCAAATACTCGTACACCAAAATGCAAGCGTAAAAACCATGTCTTAAACTAGAAATATCAGGTTATTGATACCATGAAAACGGCAGCTTTTTCGAATGTTTGAATAATCCTCAGTGTTTCATTTCTTCTTCTTTTGGCGCAGGGCAAGGGAAGGATGCGTACATACTGGCTGAACGCTGTTTCACAAGATATTTCCTTGTAAATACCAACCTATTTTCACTGTCGTATGAATGTAATATTCGTCTTTATATATGTCAGTTAAAAATTTTTATAGATGGTAGGACTCTTCACTTTTATATGGGGTACTGTGCTATGGGATTCGTCCAGCTACAGGCACGAGATACACGAACGGATTTAAATGAGTGGATGTCTCATTTCTTCATTTCCGCAGCCATTAGACGGAAAAAATGAAGCTCTATTTCATCATCGCGACATTTCGCTAACTTGTTAGAAAATTGTTTGTAATGACTAAATTTCGTGAACAGTTAAAGCTAATGTTGCCTATAATATATCACTGCTTCGCTTAATAATTAATATGAAAAAGACAGAATTCAAACATTTCAGCAATTGAAGATGTAACTGACACTTGCACTGCCTTTAAATTGGTCTCAGTGAAAGAGTAAACTAATATAATTTTCCAAGTTCTTGGCTCCATTTCAGGGAACTTAACGACGAAAGCGTATTCCTGTAGTTGTAAGTTATTGAAGACTGTTATCTTAAAAAGAAAACAGAAAACTCGACCGGTATTTGTTTAAAAAAATGTACTAAACAAAACTAGAGAGTTATTTATAATAAATAGCTCTTAGATGTTTAAGTTTTAGCCATAACGCTGCTATACGCGGTGAACTCTGCCATACCATATCTTACCTTGTTAAGCATTTTAATTTGTAAGAGTCAATTTGATTGTACAACCGCACAACAACTTATTTCATCGTACTGTTCTACTTTCCGCATTCGTTCACTTATATATTTTAATAGAGACTGAGTAGTGTTCATAGTAAAACTTACTCAAAATTAAACATATGAGTTCATTATACGACTTTACCATGAGGAAACTATGTAATTTAAAGTTTTTACATGGTTTGCACCATTGATACATACAATAAACAGCACAACTATGGACCCATCGTTAAGAGCCTTTCTTTTGCATCCCTTGATTTTGTAGCGTGCCAAATGGATCGGCTGAAAAAAAAAACCTTCATCTCACATATACTTACAGGAGAACAAAAAAAAAAAGGCACCGAGGGAGTTGACCTACCTAGAACTGCCTTGCCCAAAGTTCAAACAAAACAGCACCCACTTGGGTTGAAACACCCACTTGGGTTAACTGCACTCCTTTATCTCCCTAGACACGTGAGGGGGGGTGCGTGGTGTTAAGTCAGTGGAGGCTGAATACAAGCAGACTAAAATCAAGTCAGCTGTTAAGTTATACGGAAATGAAGATCCTACCATGGGCTTAGTGTGTGCTTTTGAAGAACAAGCTGCTGTTAAAGGGGACAGGTCACTCTTGAAATAGGCAGGGAAATTTTGCGAAGAGTTGAGTGTCTCTCTAAATTTGTCTTACCCCTACCCGAAGCTGTATGATGAGGAAGGCAAGGAAGTAGTCCAGTGGTCAGTGCGCTGGACTCTGGGTCAAACGGCCCGGGTTCAAGTCCTGGCTGGGGCTTAACGTTGTGTCCTTAAGCAAGACACTTCACTCACATTGTTTCGTCTTCTCGGATAGGACGTAAAGCCGGAGGTCCCGTTTCTTAAAGGGTAAGGGGTAAAAGACGTTAATTTCCCACGCACGAGATTACTGTATGCTGGATGTCATTCCCTGGGGTAGGTTGGGTGGGAAAACAGCAGGTCTACATCAGCTTATACAGTTGCTAATAAATTCAACCTGCTTGGACAAATAAACATGATGATGATGATGATGAAGTGTCGAAGGAGAAGATCAAGGATAAGTTAAAGGAGAGAGTTAGAGGTCGGTACGCCGAAAAAATCCGAGTAGAGAGGTGGCAAGGAAACCTTTTAACATCCAGATGGGATTATGAAGACTTGAGTAGACAAGAATGTTTCGCGCGGATGACGACCTGGCAACGCGCACCGACTCAAACGATCGCGGGTATGATGGAGCTTTATGAGCAGATACTACCAACAAAGGTACACTCCTGTCCTAAGATTGGTACCACCCCTGCAAATTACACTACTTGTAGGTTGTGTGGGAAAGCAATAGAGAATATGGCACAAGTGAATCGCGAGATGTTCAGCGTTGGCCCAAAGAGGCCAAAGGTACCAAAGATTGTACCAAAGGTGCCAAAGATTGGTACCACCCCTGCAAATGACACTACTTGTAGGTTGTGTGGGAAAGGAATAGAGAATATGGCACAAGTGATCGCGAGATGTTCAACGTTGGCCAAAGAGGCCTGGAGAGGCATAATGCGGCTTTAAAGGTGTTACACTTTGAGCTTTTGCGAGATCTTAAGCTGGTTGACAAGGTCCCCCGTGGCACTCCAAGACACAACCCAAGCCACTGTACAAATCCAAAGATGTGCAAGCGTTTTGGGATATTCCCGTCTATGCAGGAGGTGAGGGCAAACCGGGTGGATGCGAGGATAGTCAATCATCGGGAAAAGACAGTGACTACCATCGAGATGAGCTGCCCGTGGGTTGAGAATCGTGGCAAGAAAGATGAAGAGAAAACACTCAAGTATTTCAGGAAGAATGCCATAAGGACCTGGGCTCTTTCCTAGTCGGGTGTCTCTTAGAGCTTGATGAAGTTCTTGTTCTTCAATTGGGCGGCTCATTGATTGGATGACTGGAAGCTGGTCTATGCCATCGACAATGGTCAAGTCAGCATCAGTTGGTTGGTTTAGTAAGTCGCTGAAATGTTCAACCCATCTGTCTTTTATCATATCAGGGGCATTCAGGATCTCGCCACCTTTGGATTTCACAGGATGAGAGGTTTTGGGTCTTGGACCATAAACAGTGTTTAGAGTGGCATAGAAGTCTATGAGGTTCTTCTCCTGAGAGTATCGCTCTGTTTCTTCAGCTCTATGTCCGGAACAATTGTTTTTGAGATCTCTAATGCGCCTTCTCTTCTCACCGCCTCCCTATTAAGAAACAAACGTGGAACTTAAGGCCCAGTACAAACGTCGTGCCCCTGTTGTGTCCAACTTAATTGCAGTTAGCACGACAGAAACACGATTCTGATTCAGACCTTGGGCTACAGTCGTACGAAATTCAGGATTCACTGAAGCAAAGTAACAATTCTTTCTCGTAACTTACCACGAGAACACAATGCCGCTAAAGCACATCAGCATTATTCATGAATTTTGTCTGTCTCGGCCGTCGCGCCAGAGTTGTGTAGAACTTGTCGAAATTAATCGTTTGAAATTAATTGCTTACCGAAGATCAATTAAGACGCTGTTCTTGAAACTAATTGCTTGCCGAGCTCAAGCGTTTGCGCGTTATAAATCTTGTGAGCTGTACAGGTAAATCATACTCGTAGCAGATGCTTACTAAACACTTTCACCCAGGACGAAGATAAATCAAACTGTTGTTTACAAAACACCTATGATACGGAAATCAAACTTGTCGATGGTTGCTCGAGAGCGAGCAGCGAAGATTGTTCATACCATGAGCCCCTGTCCATTTCGGCGAGATTTTTCACCATTCTTCATCGAAATCCTTCAATGTCTGGCTTTTAGGGCCAGGCTTCTTTCTAGCTTTAACCCACGGGCTCTTTTCCTTTTTAACTCTCCTCATTATCTCACGAACTGCTGCGATAAACACGTGAAACTGACATACGAAGATGTTTATGCGACTAATACTATCCCGGATGTTCTGCCGCGAAAAACATCACGGGAGTCACTTGTGTTTTTACATTATAATTAGCTTTTCGCACTTGGACGGCTCAAAGAATTCAGTTCAGAAAAACGGTTTTGTAAATAGCTCGAGTGTGTTTCAATGTTTCAAAATAACTTTTTTTTAAAACTGTAGTTAAAATAGTAATGCTTTGTTTGAGGTGAAAAAAAAAATTGGGCAAAATTTGGCCCGTAAAGGTCTACCGTATCCTTAAATACCACGTCACCATTGGTCACTCCTTCGTTTAACATAGTGGTTCTATCTCTTTTCCATTTGAATGAAAACTGTACATGAATTCCGCCCACGGCTATCAAAGACCTATCTGAAGAAACTAGCCTGACATCGTTTTGACGGAATAAGACATTGTCAAAATGCTGACCTCAGCATGTATTGAGTATAAGTTAGTCTATAGGAATATCATCCGAGTGAACCGCTTGTGAATCAGTTGTTCCCGGCTGAAGACTGTTGCAGAACCTTTGCACGAATTGGGTCACGGCTGCAACAGACATTATGTGACTGGTGTGAAAAGGATTTTCAGTGGATGGATCCAAGATTCTGTAAGGTATGTCTTCTTCGTTTACTGACCCAAAGATTGGATTTTCTTTAACATGTATTTCCACATTTCAAGCTGACCCTTAAGTCCATGCAGCACACGGTGTCTCATATCGTTCTGAGCTGATCAAAACCTTGTAGTAGGCCCTATCCCAAGAAATGGCAAATAATCTGGGTAGTCTTTCAAGAGGAATTTCATTGTTATTGTCAATCTCGCGCAGATCATTTACCAAGGATCTTTCAAGAGGATCCATTTCTTCAAGCCTTAATTGAGTATGGCGACATCGATCAATTCTTTGCAGACATCCAGAAACATTTTTCTCAAGTCCTGATGGAACAGAAGGGGTGGTACCTGTTTTCAACGCAGAAGAAGCTGACTTTTCCATCATGCTTGGGAAGCCATAGTTACTTTTCCTCGGAATTTCTTTTTTACCTTCTCCTTTAGTCTCCAGGGTTGATTGATTTGTCTCTCTAGGTAGACTTTCTTCACTGAAAATATTTTTCTTCGACTCATCATCGGACTTTGTTTCATCTTCTTGAATTTTGATCAACTTTGAGGAAAAATGAATTGGATTTTCCATGATCGGCTCGACTGACCAAACAAACATTCAAGGATCTCGGGACTTTCAATGTAATCAGGATAAAAAAGATTGTACGTATGATTTTACAAAGAAATGCCGTAAATCTTTATTCTTCATCGCTTTCAACAGGTTTCCGAGAAGTTTATACATGCATTCCACTCTTGTGCTTTCGGTCCACATCTCGACACCAGTCTCCTCTATCGTTTCTAGGACGGTGTTCTTTAGATGAAAGGAAACCAAACTCTTAGGCTGAGTAGAAAGAGAGGTTCGATGATATTTCTTCAGACAGCGATAGCATTCCCTGTCGATGTCGTCTATCTTTTGGCTTAACAGGTATTCTGCGCGAGAAAAGGATATTCTCAAGTCGCAGTCGGGATTTCCATTGAATTTTGGGGGCTTTACTACCAAATGGAAACCCTCTTGGATTATTTTTCGACAATCTTGGATAAAGGCTAGTTACGGTCTCTTTTGATCCAATCTCTCGCTATCTTTGGCCAACCTCGACATCTTAAGGCTGGGAAGAAGTCGACTCCACCTTGTCTGCCATAGTATAGTTCTGTCTTCAAGCCTTTCAGTCCGGGTTCCTGTAATAACGTACTTGCACTATCCTTTTCGTTCGTTACTTTCTATCCCAAACAGTTGATTAAGCCAGCGTGTACGTTTAGGGTTACAGCTTGACCTGTGGGATTGTTCGATAGGCGAAAAGTACATTGGAGTAGAGTCCATTGGAGTAGAGTACACTGGAGTGGTGATAAACTCCCGTAAATGGCATTTCCTCTGTTTATAATTTATTAGCTTCGCCGACAGGCAGGGACACCACAACAGCTTGCGCCAGTTACTGCGGGCCCAGTAAACCCACCCATCCCACCCCAGGGGAGGATGTCCAC